TCCATCCTTCCGTGGTCAGTAAAATGAGGACCCAGATAGGCTGACTCAGTAAACTGCTTGGAGAGGGCTGCAAAGCCCTGTGAAGTGGTATATAAGTCTAAGTGCTGTTGCTATTACCCTTCCTTTCCTTTCCTTTCCTTTCCTTTCCTTTCCTTTCCTTTCCTTTCCTTTCCTTTCCTTTCCTTTCCTTTTCCTTCCTTCCTTCCTTCCTTCCTTCCTTCCTTCCTTCCTTCCTTCCTTCCTTCCTTCCTTCCTTCCCAGTGATTAGAATGCAGCATTGCAGGCTAATTCTGCTCACTGCCAGGAGTTCGATCCTGACCAGCTCAAGGTTGACTCAGCCTTCCATCCTTCCGTGGTCGGTAAAATGAGGACCCAGATAGGCTGACTCAGTAAACCGCTTGCAGAGGGCTGCAAAGCACTGTGTAGTGGTATATAAGTCTAAGTGCTATTGCTATTGCTGTCCGTTGGGTTCACTGCAAGCAATAAAACATCTTGAGCCAACTTTGCAGGAAGTAAGTTCTCAGTCTACATGCAAAGCAACAGAACCATCGCCATCATCGTCACCATCATCATACCAATAATTGGGGAGAGTAAAGAAGGCAATAAGGATAGATAACGATAGTACTGCAGCCATACTACATGGATAAATATAGAGAGACAGCACTGTGAGAATTAGGCTTTTAGCAATGAATTCTCTAAATTAGATGAATTTAAATCTATTATTTAGATCTAAATGAAATACATTAAATTAATTCGATCTCATCCATTAGAATTAATTTAGCGCGGTGGTCTAAGGCCATCCATCATGGGTAGGGTCAATCCATGATGGGAAAAACAGAAGCGGGGTTTATGCCCCTTCTCCTGTCTTCTTTCTCCTGCCATTCTGACTCTGCCTCTTCCTCAAATGCCAGGGCGTTGTCGTAGCAATGTTGACAGTGTAAATGCAAAGAGATGCAACCTTCAACACGGGCTCTGCTAAAAACTTTCCAAAACCTTGAACGTCATTTGCAGAAAAAATACAACCAAAAATCCAGTCTCTCTCTACCCTTTGGTACCGAAGGAACCAAGCAAAATGAAGAACAGGGCAAGCAGCTAGGAACCTGGTAGTTTGACTTGCAGGCTGCCTGCTTCCCGCTTACAATTTCTCAATGGCAGGAAACTGTTTTAGCCCTGCGTCCAGGTGTTCATAATCTGGCTTCTCTCCATTGTTTGGGGTTCCTGGATAGGTGAGGTGGCTGGTAGCTCTGTGCCAAGATAGCTAGCTTATTCAAACAGAAGGGGGTAGGGAAATCCCTCCAGACAAATGACATACTATGTGCCTAAGAGCCAAATTTGTTTGCTTTATTATTATTATTATTATTAATCAAAGGAAATGTAACTTTTTTGCAATGTGATTTACAAGGGCAGGAAATCTGCTTGGGACAACAGCCAGGGAAAACTGGGCGAGGAGGGAACACACCCTGGCAGCTTGGAATAAAAACAGCAAACAGAGAAGATCAGAATCATGCTGAAAAGATACACAGCGATTGAGCTTTCAGCGTTATTGGGAATCAAATGCCAGATTTCAGCTCATTGCATTACAAAACCTATGTGCATCTGAATATAGGAGTTTAAGAGAACAATATTTTATACTGGAGCTTGTCAGTGCTGTTTCTTATTTTATAAAAAATTTGTTCTGGGGGGGGGGAACAACTAGTTCCAAGATCCAGGAGTCTAGATTGCCCACCAGGGAAGATATTATCCAGTGTGCACTGAGGTTTTCCTGCTGCCCTAAACCCAAAAACCTCAAGGATTTTAAAGTCAATGCAAGTTCATTTTTAGAAGGATTTCATTTCCCTCGGGATCAGCAAGGATTTTTAAGGTTAATTCATCCAGAGATGGCTTAAAACGGTTCACTCAATTTCCGAGAATAAATCACAGACAGCGCAATAAAAATCTGGCAGTGACAGAAAAAGTGGTTTGGCTAGGCAAGGTGGACGTAATTCTTGCGCACAGCGACTTATCGTCAAATGGCAGCGGACTATTTCATAAACAGATGCCACTCTGTCGACAAGCATTTTTAAAAAATCACCGGCAAAAACATACAAGCAGCCACTGAAACATCAGTAAACCATTACAGACCAGTTCAAGGAGGCAGTATGACTTGTAAACCATGATTCAACAGACCACGGGAACTCAACAATACCCTGAGATTTTTTTCCACTCAATTTAAGGAAGAAGGGGAAACTGGCATAGCCTAGAATCGTGGGTCTCAACAGGCTTCCTGCAATTCCCTTTTACAGCTGTTTGTATTTTAATGACCAGCTAAATTTCCTTGATCGGCAGAGGGCGATAAGCACAGGTTTTTTTTGGGGGGGGGGGTGTTTAAGCTTGCTCTGTCTACTGGGATATTTCAATAATAACAACAACAACAACATTAATTTCATGCATAGTTATGCATGCCACAAGAAATGTTTTATGCTGCTCATCCCTTGGTGAAGCCGTTCTTTGTGTGTGTGTCTGTCTCTGTGTGTGTTTTAATATTGAGCGTTACGACGGGTATGCGCGGCGCAGGGGAGAAGTGAATGAGAAAGAGAGAACTAAGCTGTTGACATTCCAGATCATTCTTAGTTCATAAATACAGGGACAAGGCTGCAGGCTTTCGTCTGAAAAGGGGAATAAAGCACTCTTGTAAGGTCTTAAATCCTAACCAAATTTTCTCCCTCCAAACCACTCAGGTGATGTGACGAACTTCCTTCTAGGAGAAACGTGCTCAGAATTACAGCCTGCAAAAAAGCTCCCCGGGACTGGGATGGCCAGTAATCCAGGCCAAGGGGTCAGTTGATATTTCTGCTGAATTCACATTTCCCAAAGGTGATGATGTGATGGTGATGGAGGCAACGTTGGGGCGAAGGCAGAACTGGTCAAGGATAAATTCTTTCGCCTTCTTTTCTGGAGCCATCAGTTATGTACAAAGAGCTCTTGAACCCAGTTGAGGGGCCTTTGAAAGGCTTAATGTTAAAAGAGGGACCAGACCATTTTGGGGAGAGGCTGTGTGAGGCTATGTGTTACACGTTTTGTCATTCTGATATACAGTATATCTCACTCCATTTTACTTTGTTTTATTTTTCTACTTTCTATTTTATCTTTTCTTCCTCCTGCTTCCTTTAGAACTCCCACAGTTATTTTGTCTCACATCAAACAGTCAGTCTTTCATGCTGGAGATGCATTATTGGGGAGTAAACCTGCTTTACAATTGTTCACATTTTCTTCTTTCTCCTCCTCCTTCCTCCTCCTCCTCCTCCTCCATTTTTTCAAGTTTCCTTTCTCAGAATCTGTGAGCAGAGATGTTCGTGCTGCACTCATTTTCTGATACACATTTTCTATTCACTAAAACCTCCTTAATCCTCCAACGTCTTAGTGCAGCACCTTATAACAGCTTTCCTCCTCCCTTGGGTTGGATGGGGAAAAAAAATTCTATAGAGCAAAGGAGAGCATCCACACTGACTCCATTTCCTACTTTCCCTCTTCAGACCGTGAATGTCACAACACTACTTTCCACTTGCAAGAAGCCCGCCTCTTCTCTTTTGAAAACAAATTCTGAAACCAATGTGTGTGTCCTTCCTTCAGCCAAACTAGAATTTTATTTTATGTTTTTGGCCTGGAGTCCCCAAAGGGGTGGCTTATCTTAGACAAGGGCTAGGAAATGTCCTCATTCAAAGGAAAACCACACGGAGGGTGTGGATTCTTGGAACATCTCGTGGCTCACGAGATGAGATGGCTCTTTCCCAAATCTGCTTGGGGGTGCAGGACCTTTTGCAGAGTTTTCTCCTCCAAGGAGAGAAAGTCAGTGGCTGGGAGAAGAGGGGGCTTCGCAGTTCACCAACATCTACCATGGGGTCTTTATTTCTTCTTAGGCATTTAAACACATATTTCAGTCTTTATAGGATATTGAGGTTTATTGCTACTTCCTTACTGCAATTTTATGCTGCTGCTGACGAATATTGGCTTGCTGAGGAACTTTCTTCTTCTTCTTCTTCTTCTTCTTCTTCTTCTTCTTCTTCTTCTTCTTCTTCTTCTTCTTCTTCTTCTTCTTCTTCTTCTTCTTCTTCTTCTTCTTCTTCTGCTTCTTCTTCTTCTTCTGCTTCTTCTTCTTCTTCTTCTTCTTTTTCTTTTTCTTCTTTTTCTTCTTCTTCTGCTTCTTCTCTTCCTCCTTCTCCTCCTCCTCCTTCTTCCTCCTCTTCTTCTTCTTCTTCTTCTTCTTCTTCTTCTTCTTCTTCTTCTTCTTCTTCTTCTTCTTCTTCTTCTTCTTCTTCTTCTTCTTCTTTTCTCTCTCTCTCTCTCTCTCTGTCCCCCTATTACAGGACAAGAAGCAATGGATGGAAACTAATCAAGGAGTGAAGCAACCTCAAACTAAGAAGAAATTTCCTGAGAGTTAGAACAATCAATCAGTGGAACGACCTCCCTCCAGAAGTTGTGGGTGGTCCAACACTGGAGGTTTTAAAGAAGAGACTGGCCAACCACTTGTCTGAAATGGTATAGGGTTTCCTGCTTGAGCAGGGGGTTGGACTAGATGACTTCCAAGGTCCCTTCCAACTCTGTGATTCTGTTATTCTTGGATGCACACTCTTAGCTCTGAAAAATCCATGGGCTTTCAGGATGCGTATGGGTGGGAGCTTAGGAAAAAAAAAGATAATGACGGTAATAACTGGCAATTAAATATGCCCACGAAGAGCATATTTCATACCTCGCAATTTATTTCCAAACAGCATCAAGCCTCCTCTCACTTCCACTCACGGAGGAAGCGAGCTACTCCAGACAGAACTGTACAATGTTTGTCGACAGCATGTCAGTCACAAACAAACGTGCCTTGAAAGCCGAAAGCCGTATCCAATGGGCAGATTAAGGGAAAACATTTACACGTGAAATGAAAGCAGACATGGGGTGGGGGGGAGGGATGCTCGCAGCCCCTGGGGAGAAGGCCCGGGAAGGGCAAAAGATGGCTAAGAATAAACCTCCGGATCAAGTGTCAGAAATCGGGGAGATTCAAAATGGTGCCTGGATGAGGGAAGCTGGCACGGCAGGGCCTCTGCAACCAAAAGGATCAGGAAAGAGTTGGGATATCCTGCAAAATAGATAGGAGACAGCCCAAGTGCCTTGGACGTGTCAGGATTCTGCTTGGCTACGGGGGAAAAAATGAACCCAAGTACGTATGTATGTATTTATCAAATTTATTGGCCACCCATAGGGTAATTGTTATCCCAAGAACGGAGAAGCACTGTGGCAAAGGAGCATATAAACATCATCAGTGCTGGAAGGGAGTGGGGTTTGCGGAGGAGGAAAGGAAAGGACTGTGGGGTCCTTGGTGCTCTCTGAGCTGGCTTGTTTTCTTGCAGACGTTTCATTACCCAAACTAGGTAACATCATCAGTGATAGAAAGGAATGGGCTAGCACTGATGATATAACTAGTTTGGGTAATGAACATCTACAAGAAAACAAGAAAGCTCAGAGAGCATCAAGGAATGCCCCAGTCCTTCTCCTCCTCCTCCTCCTCCTCTTCCCCACCCCCATCCCCAAACTCCATCCCTTTCTAGCACTGATATTATTTAGTTTTGGTAATGACATGTCTGCAAGAAAACAAGAAAGCTCAGAGAGCATCAAGGAATGATCCAGTCCTGCTCCTTCTCCTCCTCCTCCTTCTTCTCCTCCTCCTCCTCCTCCTCCTCCTCCCCCTCCCCATCCCCATCCCCATCCCCAAACTCCATTCCTTTCTAGCACTGATGATATTACCTAGTTTTGGTAATGACACGTCTGCAAGAAAACAAGCAAGCTCAGAGAGTACCAAGGACCCCTCAGGTCAACCCTGAGCTACAAATATTCTCCTTTATTGGTATCACATGTATATTTTATAGGTAGCTAGTTCTACAGAGAAAATGGCACAATCTGGCAGTCTTTGGAGGCAGAAGTCATTATTACATCATTAAGAACTGTCCCTCATGCTGTATGGACATCCTACTTGGGTCAGGCACAAACAACCAGAGCCTCTTGCAAGCACCTAAAGTAAGTAACTTTATTGCCTACCACTTACGTTACAAGAATCTCCTCAGACTGCTTGCCTTCCCTTGGGAACAACCAGACAAGGCTTTATGGATCTTGGCAGAAGTCAAGCGTATGCGGCTTGCCACTTGCCACTGCGGAAGGACTCCAAGCTAGGCCTGCGCTTGACTCCTCCTTCTAGCTGAACTGGCAGTTTCCAGCAATTTGTTTCTTACTTTCTTTGGCTTTCAAAGGTCATAATGTTTAATGCAAGGATTTTCTTCTTTTTAATTTGTTTTTATTAGAATGAATGTACTTCCTACATTAACCGGGCATTAGTTTAAGCTTAACAAACAAGAACATGGGTGAGAAAAGACCTAAGATAGTTACGTGGTTATAATCCTTATAAGAAGCTTCTCCTAAAAGCCAACGTTAGTGGCTGGAGCGGAAGGGGTTTTTTTGTTTTTTGTTTTGCATGGGCGGACCCTGTGAATTAGGAGAGAACTTGCACCAAGGTTCCTCACCCAAACATACCCAAACATATTAAGAAAACGTATAACAACTAAGCTAGTTCTGAAGGGAGCCAAGGATTGTTCATTCCTCGCTAGATACAGTACGCTATATCCTTAATTAGGCCTAACAAAAGAGAATGGGTAGGTGGAAAAGCACATATATTATCATTATCATTTAAGACATTTTATATTACCTCTTGTGGAGTCGTGTACATGGTATTTTTTTTTTAAAAAAAACAATTACGCTACAAAGATAATAATCTAGAATTATAATAATTTAAGCAAAAAGCATTTCAATGTGATCGGAGAGAAGGGGGGGGGGAACCCTATGCACACAAAATAGTTAGAAGGTCTGAGTAAATATGTAGTCTCTTAAACATGCAGTGCCTAAACAATTGCTATCTCATGTTCCCCCCTAGTCCTTCCTTTCATTAAACTAGACATACCCAATTCCAGCAACCATTCTTCATATGTTTTAGCCTCCAACCTAAACATTTTTGTTGCTCTTCTCTGCACTCTTTCTAGAGTCTCAACATCTTGACCAAAACTGGATGTAGTCTTCCAAGTGTGGTCTTACATTATAAAGTGGCATGGACACTTCACATGATCTTGATTCTATCTCTCTGCTGATGCAGTCTAATTAGCTTTTTTGGCAACTGCAGCATTCTTAACCCCTGTACTATATCGCACTGGAGCATAGTGATCACTCCCTATAGTTCAAATGGGGCACTGGGAAGTCTTACTGGGAAGGCCCCCTCGCCTGCTGGTGCCAGGTAGCTGTAGTCATGAGAAGTTGGTCATTCTTTGGCTCAAATAGTGCTGTGTTAGGAAAGGCCATCTATCAGTTGCCACAAACCCAACTGATTTAGAGGCCAGATCCTGAAGTTGAAACTCAAGTACTTTGGCCACCTAATGGGAAGGAAGGACTCACTGGAGAAGAGCCTAATGCTGGGAAAGATGAAGGGCAAGAGAAGAAGGGGACGACAGAGAATGAGGGGGCTGGAGGGAGTCCCTGAAGCAGGAGGCATGATCTTAAAGTGACTCCAGAAGATGGTAGAGGACAGGAAGGCCTGGAGGAACGTTGTCCATGGGGTTGCAATGAGTCGGACACAACTTCGCAACTAACAACACCACCTAACACAAAACTCTGCAGATGGTTCTAAAAGTGTGCAACCTCAGGCATTCTGTGCCCACCAGGCTAAGGGCACCTTTTTCCTGTGACCGAGACTCATAACAAATGCTGGCCAGCAGCAGAAAAGGTTTTCAGGCAAAATCTGGAGTTTTTCCTATTATCTTGCATTCCTCTGCTCTGGTCAAACGAATTAAGATTGATGGCACTCTGAACAGGCTGAACAACCCTTACTTGCCAGCTGAACCTGTTCCTGTCAAGGTGAAAACCATTGTAAATTCTACCTCTTGCAGAGAAAAATGCCAGTTGATCATCTCAGTGGCATATTAAAGGAGTGCAGGAGTGTGGGAATGTGCAGCTGATCTGGAGGAAGACCAAGGGGGCTGCAGCTAATAATAATGATGTGGGAAGGTCCCAGGACTGTTCCTTCCTTATCTTGGGCTTCTAGATTTCCAAATCTTAGAATAATAAAAAAATAGAACAACAGGGGTCTTCTAATTCCACCCCCTGCTCAAGCAAGAGACCCTATGCCCTTCTGCATAAATGGCTGTCCAATATCTTCTTAAGAACCTCCTGTGATGGAGCGTGCACATTTTCCCGTGCTGGCTGAGGAATTCTGGGAGTTGAAGTCCAAAAGTCTTAAATTTGCTGCAGTTGAACACTCCTGATTAAAAGTAAGGGAATTCCATATCTGGTATCCGAGTGAGAACGACAACTGAGATGGCTTTATCTGCTGGGAAAAGAGACTCAATAGCAGTTTCTGATAAAATGTCCAAATCAAGGAGAGCCTGGTTATCATCACAGGGTGTAGGCCAGTGGTGGTGAACCTATGGCACGGGTGCCAGAGGCGGCACTCAGAGCCCTCTCTGTGGGCATGCGCGCCATCATCCAGTCCTAGGCCTTCAGCTGGGTTTTATAAAACCTTTTCACTTTAGGCCTCCGCCGCCATATGCAAAAAAAAAAAAAGATTTAATCAGTCAATTTCAACTTCTCGTGGGAAAAAAAGGTCTTGCAAAGTTGAAATTGATTGAACGTTTTAGTCCCACCCAGTCTGCCGTTACCACAACAACCACCCAATTGGCCACACCCACCCAATGGGCCACACCCACCTGACACTCGACGATTCATAAGTGGGTTTTGGGTTGCAGTTTGGGCACTCAGTCTCTAAAAGGTTCGCCATCTCTGGTGTAGGTCTTTCTCTTTCCTTTTCTTAGGAAGGGCCGTTCTCACTTTTTCTCACTGGGTGGAGGGACTCCATTTTGCCTTTTTTTTTTTTAATTTCCAAAGAACCAGCAAGAAATAAGATTTCTCTGGATCCACCTCAATACGGATCTATCGGTTTGCCTTTCTCACCAACGTGACTGGACGTGCAAGAGATGCAAGTGAGGGTCTTCTGTGTGTGTGTGTTTGTGTCCGTGTGAGTGTATAGATTTGGAAGAGGTTACCTAAACTCACTGTGGCCCAAATGATTTGCAGGGCCCTCAAGCCAAATGCTGCACTGATTCATCAAAACTCCCCAAAGCAAACCTTAAGGCATCGTCTTAAGGCAATGTTCTTTGTGCTGAATAGTTTCTTTTCTTTTCTGTTTTGCAGATCAGCTTTAGACATCAATCTGTGGAGTTAGGCGGAAAAATTCAGGGAATGAATCCAGAAGCAACTGCTCTCCACCAGTTGCAGCAAACCCACTTACGTGGTCCTGCATAGAAACACCTCCAAGTTACTGGAATGCACGAGAACTGGCTGCTCATAAAATGAGGACCTTTGATTAATTTCACGGAGGCTGTTTGAAAAGTTTGCACGCTCTCTCTTTTTTTTTTTTTTTGCTGGAGTACATTTATCTAAGAAAGATTTATTTTTTTTAAATGATTTAATAAGATTATTATTTTTAAATACAATCGAAACATAAGCTGATTAGAAAAGAGGTTATACAGTATGTTGATGTTTTTGTCATATGTATAAATACTAGAAAAATGTTTATACCCCACTCTGTATGTATTGAATGTATTAAGAATTATATTTCTTTAATGTAGACAAAAGGAGAATATTGTTGGAAGAAGAGAGGATCAAGGAAATATATTATCAACTAACAAACGGATCAACTATAGAAATTGAATTTCTACCCTTCACCCAGCCAGTGCACTGTTGTCTTTTAATTGCTCCTTTTGCACTTCCAGTATATTCAAATATGGTCTTTAGTCTCAGTTCTGCAGATTGCTCAGAAATGTTCAGCAAGATCAATTCAGCCAGTAAATAAATCCCTCAGAGAGCTGGCGGGCAAGGAATGGATTGGAAAAAAAAAAAGAGCAAATTGAACAGAATCCTGCGTTGTTTCAAATCCACCCACCCTGAAACAGGTGCAGGATTGTGTCTGTGTGTGCGTGATTCATCCTTCTGCGCGTCCTATCCCGTACTCACAATTGCTGTGGCAGAGATTTTGCAACGCTTTTTTTAAAAAAACAAACAACCTAGAGTGTTATGATGACATTGGTTTTCACTGACTGTGCTTCAAATCCTTCTGCTTCCCTAATGGAATAATAGTCGTAGGAAAGCTGGAGAATTTTTTCTCTCTCTCTCACTGCTGTGCTCTCAAAAGCAGAAGTGAAGGGGGCAGCCTGGAGCAATTTATATGCTTAAAACGCAACTTATCCATAATCTGAGATACACTTAGATTATAGACGACCCCACTGGGTTTTGGTACACCTTCTTCTTGGTATATATTTAGCAAAGAAACTCGTGACTCTGGAGCCAGTCCCTGTCCCTGGAGGAAAGAGCACACTAACCTTCATTTTGTAAAGCTAGCTCAGCAAAAACACACATTACGAGGCTGTTGGGAGGCAAAGCTGTCATTGGGCAAAACGACATGGAGCTGCCTCAAAATATTGATTTTGGGTGGAGGAAAGGGCAGCTAGTCCTTGCATTCTTTCTCCCCAAAGGGCTGCTTTTACAATATTCTTCTTGAGGGACCAGCATCATAATCCACCTGAGATATTACAGACCTGCCTTATCATATCAAGGGAGGGTGATTCCGAAATGTTTTGAGACACCTTTTAATTCTCCTTGCCACGAACAGTCTCCTCCAATCTCTGGTTCACCCTTTAAGGCATGAATTGACCCTAATTTCCTCAACTAGGGGCTGGCTTTACATGACAAATTGAGATGCAAACCACATTTTATAAACCTGAAGAGCTGCGTTGACCTAGCTTAATGGTTGCAGATCAGCACATCCTGACAGTTTAAATATCATTGGATAATTTCTTTTTGTTTTTCATTTATGCTGGTTTTGTGCTTCAATGTATTCACTGAGCAAATGGAAACATGGGCGAAATAAACTTTTTTTGTGAAGTGTTACCTAAATTCTGCAAGAAAGTTGATCAACCCTGGCTAGGCGGAGTTGGGGAACCCTTCACACAAAACAGTCCAAATGAATGTATTGGCTTGTTTCAATGAGTTAAGGCACTAGAAACTGAGAGTTAATAATTTCTAGTCCCATCTAGACAGCAAACTAAAAAGCAGAGACATCACCTTGCCAACAAAAGTACATATAGTCAAGGCCATGGTTTTCCCAGTTGCAATGTATGGCTGTGAAAGTTGGACCATAAGAAAGGCTGAGCGCCAAAGAATGGAGGCCTCTGAACTCTGGTGCTGGAGAAGACTCCTGCGAGTCCCCTGGACTGCAAGGCGATCAAACCGGTCAGTCTTAGAGGAGATCAACCCCAACTGTTCTTTAGAAGGCCAGATCCTGAAGTTGAAACTCAAGTACTTTGGCCACCGAATGAGAAGGAAGGACTCACTGGAGAAGAGCCTGATGCTGGGAAAGATGGAGGGCAAGAGAAGAAGGGACGACAGAGAAGGAGGTGGCTGGATGGAGCCACTGAAGCAGGAGGTGTGAACTTCAATGGACTCCAGAAGATGGTAAAGGACAGGAAGGCCTGGAGGAACGTTGTCCATGGAGTCACGATGGGTGGGACATGACTTCGCAACTAATAACAACAACAAAAGTCCCATCTTGGCATGAAAGCTGGCTGGGTGATTTTAGGTCAATCACCAGGAGACAGTGAGTTCTAGTTCTGCCTTAGGTATGAAAGCCAGCTGGGTGAGTTTGAGCCAGTCCCTCTCTCTCTCAGTCTAACCCACCTCACAGGGTTATTGTGGTGGAAAAAACAAGAGGAGGAAGGTGTATTAGATAAGTTCACTGCCTTGACTAGTTTATAAAAATAATAAAGGTGAGATATAAGTAAGCCCTCCCAAATTGCACAAAAAAAATCTCTCTTCTGCAGGTTCTAAAGCATCCACGATGTCTCCTGCAGCTCCATCTGTTTCACAACCCACAATTCAGTTCTGGAAGACCCTATTGTCCCTCTCCCCCCCCCTCCCAACATCCAAGCTTCATCCTGACACATCTCTGAACAAAGTTAAAACAGGTATCAACCCTCATCCCTTAAAACCTTTGCTGTGTCCGGGGCTAATGCTGGTCCTAACTTTCACTCATCAACTGCCGTTTTTAATTTCGCACTTGGTAATGCAACATGAGCCACACTGCAGATGCTTACAAGGCAGCTTTCATAATAGACAGCTGAAGCAGTGGACAGAGGCTTATTATATATGTATTTTACTTAAAGCTCTTCTGACTGCCCATTTTTAAACAATTCCAGGTATCTCACAGCAGCTTAGCTCAAAGGATCCCTGGCAGAAGACTCTGTCACCTCAGCCGCCCAAACTAGAATCCAAGACTTATGGGTAGGAAATATCTTGGAGGTCATCCAGACTGACCCCATGCCTAGTGTAGGAATGTACTTCTATAGCATCTCCAGCAGAGGGCCATAAAGCTTTTCTGTAGACGCCTCCAGCAAAGAAGAGAATTCATTATGGCACCAATTGCTTAACAAGCAGTCTTATACTAACCCCAACCGGAATGACTGGAATACTGTATAAGTGATAAGCGGGGGGGGGGGGGGGAGTGTGGATAGGCACAAAAAATATCCAGTGGCTAAAAATCTTCCCATTTTCTGGATGGAAACTGAGTCTAAGGGAGCAACGTTGCCTGGAAGCTGCAGGGACACTCCCATCATGAGAGGTTGGAAAGGATGTCATTTAGATCCACCTTGTGACCAATGACCACTACTACGGTACTCACGAATGAAGACAAATATGCATGTTCCATCCAGGATAACGCTGCAGGATCCAATCTGGGTCCAGTGGTTTTGCCTTCCTTTCAAGCATACATTCTAGCGTGAGAGAAGTCCCCTGAGGATGGGCTCCAGCATGATTGGACCCTGCACTTATTACTACTGTTCAGAGTGCCCTAATCTGATCATATACCAATTTGGGGATGTTTCCAGAAATGAGTAGGGTAGAAAAGAGCAGAACACGCTACCGTTTCTAAGTTATCATTCCACTCCCTGGAAGCGGCGGACTACAACTCCCATCGCCATGCCCATCAAGGCAAGGGCTGGTTGGGAATGGGAGGGGGGAATCATACGAGCCCAAGGCTGGTCTTGAGGAACTGTTGCTCGCCCGGCTGGGGGTTCAACCACTGAGACGTTCTCCTTCAATGGCTGCGGGGTCCTCCCCCGGGCGCAATCTAACCAGCTGCTTTTGGGCCCCTTGTGGTGAGTTCCCAGCGAAGGGTCCGCATTCCTGAACCTGGTTAGCGATTGCGGTATCGAGGCATCCAATCGACGCACCCAAAAACGCGAAAGCAGCAACTAGCCACCAGAGAATCAAAGCGGCAAAGTTCGCACCGCGCGCGAATACAGCCGCTCAAGCCTCCATCGACCTGCCTGCAAACTCCCCAAAATAAAACAAAAACAAAACAAAAACCCAGGCTGGGTCCAGTTAGCCGGCGGGGAGCAGGTCGTGGGAATTTCAGCCACAATCGAGAACGCGCGGCAAATACTTCAAGCTATCAAAGTTCCTTCCAACTCGGCGAGGACACGGGGACGGGGGGGGGGTGGGGGGTGGTGGTGACGAAGAAGCGGGGGAGGACGCAGCGGCGGAGAGTGGAACGTACGCTCCCCTCCCCCGTTTCAGTTCAGGTGTTCCCCCCCCCTCCCCTTCCTGCCTCCCCTCCCCCTAAACGGAGGTGGATTCGAGGCTGGGTTGCTAAGCGAAGCCCACGCGCCCTGGCAGAGCGCGCCGGCCCCCCGCCTCTCCAGATGTGCCTTCCCCACCGATGGGCAGAGGGAGGGAGGGAGGAGCGGGGAGGGGGCGTGCTACGCTGCCCGCCCCCTTTGGCAAGAGGCGCGCACGTGCTATATTTGGCGAGCAGGCTCTGCCAACCCACCCGAGGTGTCCTCGCCGGCCCGAGGCGCCAGGAGGGGTGGATGCGCCACCATCGGCAGCCTGGTGCCCGGGGCACCCCATCGCGACCCCATCGCGACTCCCTCCTCCCTCTCCCCAGCCCGTCACTCGCCTGGGTCGCTCCGGCTCGCGGTTCCCCTCCTGGGCTGTCCCGTCCACGCCTCTTCGGGCTCCCGACGGCGCCTCGGGGGTCGGTGGGCGCGCTCTCGGGCACTCCCGCCCCTCCGCCTGTCACCACCACCCGACGGCCGGAGCGGAGTGGCGGGCGCGCGCCTCGGGGGGATGGGGGGGGGCTCTCCCGGCTTGCCGCCGCCGCCGCTGCCTCCCCTTTCGCCCTCTGGCAGCGCCGGCGGCGAAGCCCGCGGAGGTGCCTGCGGGACGGGGGACAGACCGGAGCGCAGCCGGCGAGCGGAGCTAGTGGGCGGGGAGGGGTGGCGTTTCCTCGGTGGGGTGCTCTCCACGAAGAAGGCCCCTCCTTTCCTCGCCTTAGCAAGCAGGCGGAGTAGAGAAGGAGCCTCTGGCCACGTGCAGAGCGCAGCTGCTTCTGCGCCACCCATCCTCCCCCCCCGGGGGGGGACTGTTTCCTCGAGATAGGACAAGGGGTCGTCTGAAGAGGGGCAAGCGGGCTGCGCAAATCCAGAGGAACCCCAGGGCTGCGTAAGGGGGAACCAGCCCTTCCCTACTTTTCTGGGCAGTGGGGGGTCGGATAAGCGATGCTGCGAAGCGCCTGGCAAAAATTCAGGATATCGGTTTTAATAACAGAAATCCCTGGAGGGCTTTAAAGGTCAGCGGAGAAAGGAGACGTTCAGGGCGGAGAGAAAGTGGAGGCCCCGTTCAGCAGGCGAAGTGAGGCTGAGCTTTTAAGGCATTAAAGTAATGCCCTAGGTTAGCATGCTAAAACGGGTCGGGTCCACAAAGAAAACATTTGGAAAAACCACAACTAGAAAAAGTAACAAGCCACCGCAAATAAAATAAAATAAAATAAAATTCTTGCAAGAGGACATTTCTGCTATCCAAGTCCTGGAAACAGGAAAAAGTTTCCAATATCGTTTTTTTTTTTTTTTTTAAATTATCAGGGTGAGAAGCAATACAGGTGCTGTATGTGGGTGGTGCAAGTTGACTAGAAACCAGAGAGCAATTGTG